ATAAAGTAAAATTTATGAAAGAAATTTTAAAAATTAATTTTTTTTTTCTCTATGAAGGATCATTTACAAGTGTGTACATTTGAAAATCTTCAATGTGAATATTGCTCAATATATCTTACTGATGAATTTACATATAACGAACATGTTTTATCTTGTCGAGAAATACTGGTTCCATGTGTATTCAAGATTTTTGGTTGTGATACTATGGTATGATTCTTATTTTGCTAAATATCAATATGCATTAAAATTCATTTAGTTAGTCGTAAGAGTTTATAGACAACATGAGTAATGGTTAGTTATCAATGAATTAATATATTAATCATTTCGATTAAAAATGCACTTAAGTTTGTCTAAATGAATGAATGCGAGAATACGAAATGTCATTGAAAAATCAGTTTTAATTGTATGTAAATAGATTCTGATATACTAAAGTATATACATACAAGTTGAGGGAAACGCGATTCTTCGTGTTTTTGAGTGTATTTGTGAACAGTGGAGTGCATTCTTTTTTCGATATTGATCTTTTCATTAGACGCGACATTAATGCAAACTGTTTGTAAGAAAAGGTTTCGAGAATCAGTTTTATTCTTTAAGAAAAAACATAATATGCTGAATAATTTCAATTTATAACAGTAAGTAAGAATGGATCAGTAAAATCGAAATCGATCTTGCTCTCAACTGTTTGATTTGAACATTGTATATTTAACACGAGCATAAAAAGTTTTTCGCTTTCTAAATTCATCGTAACTTGATTTGTCGACTTTGAGAATCGTGCATAGAGGCGACATTTAAAAGTTTAACAGTTGAAATTCAAATCGATTATAGTTTCTCTATATAATAGTAGATGTTTTATCATTTTATTCTTTGCATAAATTTCGAATGATTCAACGAGAAAAACACGAGCGATTGTTCGTTTTGTTGATTTCAGCATGTCTTTAAAGACAATTTTTTTTTATCTTTCTACTCGTAACAGTAAAGATTGAAAAACTTACATCCTACTTATATCACATAATACATTTATATGATTATAATATTTCTTTTTCTTCAGATTCGTCAAAAATCAATTCAAGACCATGTTCAATCGTTGTTAGTTAAACATTTACAATTACTTGCTGATTTTGTTTCAACATTCATAATTAACAATTTAAATGATAAGACTTCACAAAATAAGTCTATTAATAAAGATAGAAATGAAGATTTATGTCGGGAACAAGAATCTCTTAAAAAAGATATGTCATATCATTTTAATCCTTTCGATGGCAAATGTATGCAATATTTATTTGACAAATCAGAATTATTAGCATCATTCACACACTGTCATGGTACTTATTCATGGTGCATTGATGACATTGACCAATTATATCGCGAAGCAAAACAAGCTACTTTTAGAGTGCAAAAGATACAATCTTCTCCATTTTATACATCACGATATGGATATAAATTCGGATTGGAATTATTTTTAAATGGTGATTTAGATGGATTTAATAAATCTGTATCGTTATATATTACAGTAATGAAAGGAAACTACGATCCATTACTTAATTGGCCATTTCGGTATAGTATTATTATTTGTTTATACGACATGAGTGAGCAGCGCCATCATGTTATTCATACGATAACACCAACAGAATATGATGAATGCTTTAAACAACCACAAACAGATACAAATCCATATGTAAAAATAACAAATTTTTGTTCATTAGAATTAGTATTTGGTAAACAATATGCGTATGTTAAAAATGATAAAATGTTTATTAAAATATTTATAAACTTCGAAGACTATAATGAAAATGCTATAAAAAAATGGATTGAAATTCAATCAAATGGTTATCCAGTAAACAAGGAACTTACAATACTTGAAGCTTCACAGAAACAAAAATAATTTTCTTTTTTTCTTGTATTTAATTATGTATATTTTATATCAATAAAAAAGATTTAATCAAGAAATATGGAGCATTTTGAATGATAAGATATAACAATTCTATTGTAGACAGACTGATGAGATTTTTTGATAAATCCTTTATATTACTCAGTAATAAGTTAGTTTTCTTTATGTTGCAGAAAAATATTAGTAGTTTTAATTAGACAAAACATGATGTTTCTTTTTATTCTATCTATTCATAGGTTGAAAACAACTATTGGCATTGAAAGAAAATAATATAATTCAATATCTTCATCTCCAACAAGAACTAATTGTTTTTTTAAATATATTTCTTCTCAATCTTGAAAGGTTGAGTATGCAAAACCGAAATTGCTGGTCGACTTGTCTGTGGGCTGATTGATAGAAACCTAAAGCCACGTTTCTTACAACAGAGGTACGCGTGCTGTAAGTGAAATTGATTGATCATGTTAGGGTCAAATGAGCACTCTAAGTGAGAAACTAACGAATTTAAAATATGGCCGGCTCTTGGAGTGCCTGAACAGAGATATTAAATTTTTAAGTTATGCACAATCTGTTAGAGGGTCAACGGTCAAAGGTTAAATATTAAAAGTCAAAGATTAACAATAAAGACCGGTGGCTGGCTAATGAATATCTCAAACTTCAACTGTACAACTCTTCTTACAACAATCTAATGAACGAATTCTTCGCTCTCCGAACGCCAAAGAGTGAGAAGCATATCTCATACACACAGCTAGAAAACAAAATAT